TTTACGTTGTTTCTTAGTTGAACTAAAAATAGATTTACCCACAAACTTGACCTTAGTAAAAATAAAAGTCTGCTGTGACTTTGGGATGTAGATTGTTTTTTCCTGTGGAGGTGGGTGTGTCCTGTCTATGACTGAGTATTAGTTATCATTAGGTACCGTTGCTTCAGATGCTGGCAACTTTGATGATTATATTGTTTACAAGTACAAAACTCTTCTTGTTGAAGCCTCAAGCAGTATGATTAGTGTATGAATTGCATGTAATAGTTGTCTTTGAAAGGAGCTTAGAAGTGGGTAATGCCTTTTGAGGATTACTTTTTTTCATGGGTGCCAATGCCATCATGCCTAACATAACCACCAAACCTAAGTTGGGTTCGAAGTTTTCTTTATGAGAAATGAATGTGTCTAGATTTTTTTTCTTTTTTTTTTTTACAAAAATTTATGTACAAATTGACTTATTGGATAAATTTTTTGAGTAATTTAGCTAATAAGATATATATATATATATATACTATGTATAAATTATTTTTTAGATTTTATTTTTTCATTTCATATGTTTATTATTATGCATGAAAACAATGCAAGGTGTTGTGTATGCATGGTATTTATGTGTTAATGGAATGTATGGACTATACATAAAAGAAAGTTTTTTTCCAAACTACTTAAAATAGTATTTTGTTTTTTAAGTTTGATTTCAATATTATTTTACTGTTTTCTAAATAAAAAATAATGTAAGGTCCGGATTTTTAACTTATTGTGTTTATCGTAATTAGAAAATTTACCCGTTATGATACGTTAATTTTTATTTCAAAATTTATTAGTCTAACTAAATTATTATAATTTTATAAATACATTAGTGAAATAAATTTGTCATGAATTAAATATTATAAATTTATTATTATTAATTTATAGTATTAAAATTTAAATTCGTTATTTTTAAATAAACCTTTTTAAAAATTAGGAAACAGTCAAATGTTACTATATATATATATATATATTTAAAAAAAAATGTTACTACAAATTTCCAGAACATTTATTAGAATTAATGATATTTGTACCGATAGGTGAAATGTGAACATTTCTCCAATTGGAAGGTGTGTGTGTGTGTGTAGGGTAAGCAAAATTGAGAGTTTTCTTGGAAGATTTTGTATGGAGGAGATTTTGATATGGATATTATTTCACTCGTATCTTGCTGGGTCCTTATCTTGTTTTTTATTGTCACCCATAATCTCAACCAAAAATAATGGTGATTATATATAATCTTATACCATATGAATTCATAATCTTATATGGTTAGTGGTGGGATTTCTGTCCTATGTGTGTATGTGTACATATATATATATATATATATATATACATATTCACTTTAGCAGCCATTAGGAACTTAAAAGTCAATTCCCACTTTAATCTCTCCAAGTAAATTCCAATAATCAACTATTCCACAATTCTTGGACTATCACTCGAGTCCAAATCTTCCACTATTTATAGATAATCCAAACCTTTTATATAGATATATATATATATATA